ATCTTGCCAGCAGTAAGAGTGACTATGGCGTGCTTCAAATTCCAAGGCTGAAGTTATAACCGCTGGAATTGAACCTGGCAACGGCTTAAGCATTGTTGTTAGTGACGGGTGACGGGCCGTGGAACATGTTAATAGGTTTTATGGTTGGAGACAGAGCATCATTTACGACGTTTGGGCTTTATGCTTTCCAGAATTCCGAGAACGATTATCAGCTCATATCGGCAAGTGAATTCCACTTTTTTACAAAGCAGTGCTGACTTTTGATGTTTCTACTCAGTACACCTTTTCAGCAAAGTTGGACTTTAACTGAGAAACAATTTGGACGTTAGCTAGTAATAGCGATTTTCATCGTTTTTTTTTCTTACTATTTTATTCAGTCTGTTGTGGTTGTCAATGTTTAAGTATTGACTGCTGCTAGTAGAAGTGAAAAATTATCTAAACTTTTGATTGACATCCTTTAGCCATTATTGGTCAAACGTTTGTTGCATTCATTTTTGCAACGTTTTTTTATGTGTTTCGCTTCCTCTGTGGCATTTTTGTGAAATAAGATTAAGCAGTTGAAAGAGTCGCGGATAATTTTTCAAATAATGTCTTTTGGAGATATGTTAAACTTGGATCGCAAGAGTGTTTTTTCTTTTTCTCAATTGTTGGTTTCAACTGGTAATATTGGAAAAATTTAGTTTAGATGTACGGTCTTACTGAAGCGAAAGCGATTCTGCAGTAGTAAGAATTCCTCCTTGAACGTATCGTTATAATTCATTGTGAGCAGTATAACATTTTTTCAGTTTTTCTGCAAATATAGCTTTCAAGACTCTTTGTAAGGACTTCAGTAGTAAAGCAGACTTCTTTTAGTCTTTTCTTTGCCAACGATTTTGTTAGAGTTTCTTCACTTTTACACAGACTGTATCAGGACGTTTGCAACTTTGTTCGAATGCTTTTCACGTTGTGAATTGATGACTCCTGAAAAAATGAATAGTTTCAGCGCTATGGACGCATTGACTAAGGCAAACCGGTTGATCAACGAAAAATCCCCATATCTGTTACAGCATGCATATAACCCTGTCGATTGGTACTTGTTTTGCTTCAGCATCATTCTCTGCTTTTCACCTTTTCTTCCTGACTCTTCTAATTTCAGGTATGCATGGGATGAGGAAGCGTTCAGAAGAGCGAAGGAATTGAATCGTTTAATATTCCTTTCAAGTATCTTTTTGTCTTAGAATAGTTTTTCTTCTTTGAAGAATTAGTAGGTTCCTGTTTCACTTTTTCTGATTTTTATTCATTGAAACACAAGGTGTCTTGTGGAGTTTTTACTTCAGTAAGAACACCATTATTTTGGTTTTTTTCAGAATTATTTATGGCTGGCTGAAAATTATGAAAAATTATGTTTTAGTTGTCTAGAACTGGTGAAAGAGTCTGAAAGAAAGCTAATCAAACATATTTTTGAGAAGAAACAGGAAATAAGATGCTTTTATACAGGAGAATCAGGCGCATCCAAGCATTCTTCTCTTTCAGTTGGTTATTCCACTTGTCACTGGTGTCATGTTATGGAACGTGAATCATTTGAAAATGAGGAGGTTGCTAAGGCTTTAAACGACAATTTCATTAGTATAAAGGTGGATCGAGAAGAGCGTCCTGATGTAGATAAAGTGTATATGACGTTTGTGCAAGTTTGTTATATATTTTTAATCAAAGCGAGAAATGTCGTTAGGTGATAAGTCGTAATATGATAAAACTTTTTGCTGCTTTAGATGACAAATGGAAATGGAGGTTGGCCTTTAAGTGTTTTTCTTACTCCAGATTGTCTTCCTGTTTTTGGAGGAACTTATTTTCCCCCTCATGACATGTACGGAAGGATAGGACTTCTTTCTTTGCTGAAAATCCTCGCTGAAAAGGTAGATATTGGGACAGTAGGAGCGTGAGCTTTTTGGGATGTTATTATTTTAAGCAATGAATAATCTATTTCAGTGGCAGAAACAAGGGGATATGATAAAAAAACAGGGGGAGGAACTTCTCAAACTTATAGTAGCGGCATCAAAGACGAAAAGATCAACGTTACCTGAGCTTAAAATCGTTTTAAATACTTGCTTCGAACACTATCAAGGTGCTTTTGATGAGGAGAACAAAGGGTTTGGTGGCGCGCCGAAGTTTCCTCGCCCAGGTCAATTTAAACGACGGTTTGGTTGCTAGAATATTAAAACAGTTTTCACATTTGCCATCGGGGAATCGATGTACCAGTTTTTTTTATTTCGTTACGAAGGAGAGGTTTGTTTTGGAGCAAAAACTTTTCAGTAGATCTGGATTTTCTTTTGTGTTGTTATGGTGTTATGGAAGAAACTGAGAAAAAGAACTTTGCTTTACGATCTGTTGGTGAGACGTTGCAGAGTTTGCTTCGTGGTGGAATACATGACCATATTGGGAAGGTTAGAATCACACGAATGACTTAGATTTTTTTGACACCTCAGATTCGTAAGCGTCAGACAGGAAATTTTTATTGCAGGGGTTTCATAGATATTCAGTAGATGCTGGGTGGAAGGTTCCTCATTTTGAAAAGATGTTGTATGATCAGGGACAGTTAATGACTACGTTTTCAAATTACTCTATAATTACTGGTGAACTTAAAGAAGGGATCCGGGATATTGCCGAATATGTTCATAATAATTTAACTCATGAGGTTTAATTTCTAACTTCTGTTTTATTTTTTATTTCGTAGATAATAGCGTTCTTTCCACCTAAAATGTTTCTCTAATTTTGTTCAGTTTTTAGTTGGGAGGTTTCTATACCGCGGAGGATGCTGACTCATTCCCTTCTAAAAATTCGAAGGAGAAAGTTGAGGGAGCATTTTACGTTTGGGAGGCAAAAGAACTGGACAGCATACTAGATCGTAGTGACGTGCGTGGGGCTTTAGGATGCCAAGTGTCAGAAATATTCAAAGATTACTTTGACGTCAAACCACTTGGAAATGTTCCTGTGAATCTGGTGGGTTTCAGATGTAAGGTTCCGCTGTAAGTCTTTTGCGGTTTTTTTATACTGTTTGGAAGTACTGTCTTGGTGTTTACTCTTGAGCCTCAAAAGTTATGCCACAGGATCAGCACGAAGAACTTTCGAAGAAAAACGTGTTGAGAATTGGAAGTTACAGTGGCGAAATTGCATCAAAATATGACATTGCAAAGTCAGCTTTGGAAGATCTAGTCGAGCGTTGCAAGCGTATTCTCTACAAAGCACGTCAGGAACGCCCCAGACCTCATCTTGATAGGAAGGTTGTTCTCTCGTTTACTTTTCGCTTGACTCTCATTTTTTCAACAATTAGAGTTCTTGTCGAGGCGTCTAATCATTTAATTTGTTTATGGCTACATTTAATGCTTTTAATGTAGATAGTGACGGCCTTCAATGGTTTAATGATCTCCGGCTTGGCCCGTGGATTTGTTGCTTTGGGGGAAAAAGAGTTGGCAAATAGAGCAGTAAAAGCAGTTAATTTTGTAAAAGAGCATCTTTACTGTGCTGAAGGTAATGGACTGATACGCTGTGTGTACGTTAATGAGAAAGGCGAAATCGTGCACAAGTATTCTTTAATTTTTTGTTTCTTCTGCGTCTCTGCTATCTTTGCTTTGTATATCACTCAATTTCAGGTGTTTTTTAGTTTTTTAGATGAAGTATTGTTCAAGTAACGCTGTTTTAGAAGTGTCAAGACGAAAGGATTTGCCGACGATTATGCCTTTTTCATCCAGGGTTTACTGGATCTCTACGAGTCCGTTTTTGATGAGTCATTATTGGAATTTGCTAAGCAGCTCCAGGTCACGTTTGATGAACTCTTTTGGGACTCTGCATCTGACTGTGGTTACTATAACAGTGAAAGTAGTTCTACAGTCATTGTGAGGGTGAAAGAAGGTAGTTTTTAAAGTAAATTTCACTGATTAATAATCTTTTTAAAGGTTTGTTACCTTAAGTTGCATTGGTAAAGGGTTTTTCACGTTTACTTTCAGAACAAGATAATGCGGAGCCAATGGCCAACTCCGTTGCTGCTTCAAACTTGTTACGTCTCGGAACTATCTTGGACAAGAAAAATTACTTAAAGAGAGCGAAAAACATCTTGGCAGGGTATGCAGAACATATTGGGGAAATTCCTTTTGCTTTACCAAAGATGGTTACTGCTCTACTGAAGCTGACTGAACCTTTCAATCAGGTAATTGTTTAGATGAATCCCTCGTTTAAAATACAGGTTGAGTATTCTGATTTATTTTCTTCTTTACTAATCTGTTAGAAGTTTTCAGATAATCGTTGTTGGCAGCTCAGAAGATACTCGGGTTCTTGAAATGATTCAAGTAATCAACAGCTTTTTTATACCAAACAGTTGCCTGTTGCTTGTCGGCAAGTCTAATAGTGAGTTCTAGAACTCCAACACGTATTTGAAGACTTTTCGTTATGTTTTTTCGTTCAGTTTAATATTTTACTCCCGAGGTAAAGTAATTCTTTACCAGAACTTGCTCTTCTGTTTAACCGCGGTCTTAGTGAAATTAAATAACCAATTACTCTCCTTTTTTTAGGTTTTTTGCTCAAAGAAAACAGCCACTTGGAGACTCTAGTGTCTTCTGTAACTGTTCCTACAGTATTTATCTGTAACGATATGGGATGCTGTGCTCCTATTACCAATGTTGTCCGTTTGAAGGAAGTTCTTTCTACTTTGTAGTATGGCTTTATATCTATCACCATCTGATGAAAAGGCTTTCTGCTTTAACAGGCGGTATTCTCTATTGCTTCCCCATCGGCTACCCGAGGACATGTTTTTCAACAGCGCGTCTGTACGTACTCCAGTTCGTCCACGAGATTAATAGAACAGCTGATAAATATGTATTCAAAACAGTGTTCACAATGAGTTTTTCAGCGAGTCTGCTTTTCTCATTTAGATTTATTCAGCTCTTACTCTGCATCTTCTCTATAAACATTTTTTCGCTGATTGGGTAAACAGTTTGAGTTCCTTTTTACCGTTTCGGGTTTGATGACGTGAACGCTCAATAAAGGTCACTGTTCGGTCTCAGAGCGCTCTGAAGTGAGTCCCTGAAGCTATGACGTATTGAAATATTGGAGATTGCTGGCTCTCTTTAAAGCTGCATCTTCCGTTAAAACGCTAGTTTCGCGTGTTTTAAGACCGAGTAATAGTCTTTCTTTGGTTAATTTGACGTTTTAAGAGATGAAATAAGCCGATTTTTGTAATTCGTTTAAACCTCGTTTAGGTTCTTTTCTAGGTTTGTCGAACAGTATTTGAATTGAATAGTAATATTTCCCATAAATGATTTAATGTTTTTGTTTGTTTGGTAAGGGCAAAATACACCTTTTTGATGTGTCTTAAGGAAGTTGATGTTTTGGACTGTATTTCAACTGTAAACTTCTATCCGAAAACGACAGTGTTGTGTGGTTACAAACTTACGAGGATTATTTCCCAAACCAGCTCAAATGAGTCGTTCTTCTGGTCAATGTTCTTTCCTGCTGCTGCTTTTGGGGCTCATTTGGAGTGAAGGCTGTTGTGTTCACTGTTATTACGGTCCACTATGTTGCATTTGATCCGTTATTTGATTTAATTGATGCATTTAATGTATTGCAGCAGTTTAGATGAGGTTAGTTGGGAATATGTCTGTAATGCAACATATCCTGATAATTTCGCTGTATTTACCTTTGCAAACGCTTGTCAGTAATGCATCATTCTGGCTGAGGAAAGAAAGGAAGGATTTCGCGGCAAGTGATGCAATTTAGCTTGTAGATTATACGCTTCTTAGACAGTTGCGAAAAGACTGCAGAGATGCAGCATTTTTGACCGTTGGCGCTTGGAAGTGAAGCATTAAAGCCGACAAAACACCTCTGATAGAAGCGTATCAATGAGACAAGTTTCGTGTTATCAGTCTTCGAGAGTGCTCAGGATGTTTGCCTTTCCTGCCAACAATTTTCAACATTTTTGAGCCTGAAGTCGCGAGGAACTAGTCGTAAAAGGTGTAGGATTGTGATGGGTATTAGTTCCTAGGTCCTATTGAAATGCCAGGGGGAGGTCATTTAGACGAGCGTAACACGATAGAAACCAAAAGACACTGGTGTGACAAGCTGAAATAGACATTTGTGGTTTTTTTTTTGTAAATATGGGGCGAGTAGGTCAGTCCACTACAACTTCTGAGGTGATAAGTTAGAAGAGCTTTAGTCTTTTAATCGAACATTTGTCAGCAGTCTGATATTGGCTTTGTTCCACTACATTTGGAGGGGACAATGACGGCTTATAATGATTTAGGATCTGATGCCGTTAGTTGTTTAAGATGGCGCACTGGCAGTTTTGGAGGGGTACTTGGAACGTTTTTATGATGAAGCTTTTTTGATTTCCTGAACTGAGAAAATTCTCAACGGAGTTTTGGCGCTGCAGGGCCAAAACTGGCTGAAGAAATGTTGCTAGAGTTTTTTTATCTGTCAATAACACTTAAATCGCACTAGCTGCTTTTGATATTGAAAACAGACATTTGAGCGTTACAGTCGTCAAAACGTCGCCAGGTTTTTTCGGTCCTTCGCCGTCATTTTGATCTTCCGTTAAATTTCTTTTAAAACCGCTCCAAATTTTTGGCGTCAAAGAATGGTTTTACAGAAATTGTTGTTCAGTTGCTTATTCATTAGTATAACATTTACGTTACTCTCATTTACTGTGCTCGTGCAAATTATTATCAGAGATTTATAAGTAGGCAAAAAAGTTCTTGACAAAAGATTGGATAGAGCGGAAAAATTCTGAGTTGCTTTTAAATTAAGAGCAAAAAAACATGGTTTGTAACATGACAAATTCTAATTTTTTTTTTT